GCGACAAGTTCCACATGGCAGGCCGCACGGATGCTTGGTGCAAGCGCATATGTGACCCGGAGCTCCCATCCAACTCCGCTCTTCTCGCTGGTGTCAGGACTTCAGTTTGCGAGTTCACCTTCACATGGCTCAGCAAATACAAGCACCAAACCAAGCACATGAACGAATACGGTTTTCAGTTCTTCTTGCTCGACATGGCGTGGAGCCACAATGAAATCATTTTGCAGGGAGGGTACAGGCCGGAGGAGGTAGCTGGCTCTTTGGATGCTGAGGTTGCGTAGCAAGCCAAAAATGTTCGGACGCTTAGTGCTTGAAGTTTGGGAGCGCCATAGGTACGTAGCACTTTTTTCGAACGGGCTGTGGTGCTTGTAACGCGTGACCATCTTTGGCTAGATCTTATAATTGTGATGCGGCTTCAGGTAGCCCGATTCAAATTTGGTAGTTCGCAGCTTCTCGCGCGGAGCCATGTCAGGGGCTCCTGAAGATGGGCAGTACTTGCCCGCCATGAAGCTGATGTGGGATGAGGTGGACAGACGTTTTGACCCTAAGTATGTCCTTGGAGAAGCCGGCCACCAGTTTTGCCAAAGCTATTCTGTCAGAGCTGCGCATCCTAAATTTCCTTACGCTTTGCGTTGTCTTTCTTTGATGTGTGCTTTGGCGAATGGCGCGCGTGTCGCCATCTTTGCCACAGCACCGTCGCCTCTGACTTTGGTAGCGGTCAATGTCAACTATGCCCAGACCAGAAAGTCTACCATGACATGACTGGACACGCAGAAGCTTTGGGGCAAGAGTTGGACACAGTCATCTTGGAGAATGCGATGTCCAAGCTGCAGCAGGAAAGCTTTGAGGAGGGAGCGGCTCAAGTCCTGAGGCGGCTGTTCAAACTGAAAATTGTTCCCGCGGACCATGCGTGAACAGTTTCCTAACCTTGTGTTAATTTTTCACGTGTTTCTAGTCTTTGCCAGGAACCAAAAGACCCAAGTGACCCCGCTGCTGCAGGTATTTGAAGCCAAGAATCTGTGACTGCTGCCAGCGCCACACCGGAAGAATGGTTTCACCGTTGCTCTGCTGACTGGAACCAAGTACCAAGTCCGCAACGCACACAAGCTGCCAGGAGATTGGTCTGGGCGTTGCTGGTACGGCTTGCTAGGCAACTTTGATGAAGCCTGTATACGACTTCTTGCTGAGCCTTGGCATGTTGTCCGACTCAAATGCAACAATGAGAGAGAAATCAAAAAGCAAAGTCAACCCGTACCAGAGCGCGTTCAACAAGCTCTTGCAATTTGGGTCTAGCGCTCGTGCCACCAAGACGGCAGGGAGCTACGGTGAGATGTGCGCCCAGCCTACTACATCCCAATGGAGCGGGGCGAGCTTGGAAGCCGCGCAGCCTCCACCAAGGAAAGGTTCCTCATCTCCACTGGTCGCCCTGTTCAACCACATGAGGACACCCCCGCAGACTTTTGCTTACCGGAAGGACGGGGTCGATTCTTGCACTGTGTTACATGCTGGGTATGGCTCTCACTTCTCGGTATTAAGGCGTGTAAAGTAAAGCGCAAACACTGTCATGAATTCAAGTTCTGAGCCTGTCAGTCTTTGTGGATGTTCTTAGTTGAGACGCGCGCAGGAGTCTCGCCATACAGGTGGGTCCCCCTCACTCCTGAGATTGCGGAGCTCGTTGGGGTTGCTAAAGAAGCAACATCGCCAGACGCAGCTGCCCAACAATGGGCAGAAGCTGGGCTTGAAGACGAAGCCGCGGCCCAACTCACCCAAAATGCTGCCGGTGAGTATGTGCCGTCGGAGGACGGCTACCTTGTCAGGCTCTTAGATGACAAGCCGCTTCAGGCGATCAGAGGCAGCCCCAAACGGCTTTGAAGCAGAGTGGAGGGTAGCGAACCGAAACTTTGCAATCCCGGAGGTGTGCTGTTTGAGAAATTGCGTTGTTAGGGTGGCCACCTATTTCGCAGCGCCGCGCCAAGTTATCACTTTGACCTCGGAGGCTGAGTCATGGCGTCTGTTTTAGCAGGGAGCAATGAATGTCCAAAGCCACGTGGTTCGTGATACTGGAGTCATCCAAGCTGGGGCTCGCTTCGGGGCGGCGCCTTGGCAAGTGGGGTTTTTAGCTGCTTTGCTCCTGGTCTTCGAAATCCTTGTCGGCGCCCGCTCCCCTGCAGCGCTGGAGGGGCGAGCTTTGCAGGTCACACCCGGGCACTTGCAGCGGGCGTACGCCTTGCTTCAATTGGCTCCTTGGCCGAATTATATTGAGTATCCTGAACGTCACCTTTTTCCATCCAGCCTGACGTATTGTCGCAGACCAGGTGCAGCGTCTGAAGCACATTGCCCTTGGAGATGCAGCAGCCAGCCCAGACCTACCGCCGGCGCAGGAAGACGTCCGTGCGGATGATTTGGGTGCCTTGCGCATCCCCTGTGTGCCTGAAGACTTTGCTTTGACCCAACCTGGCGCAGGTATTCCGGAGGTGGGCGACGACGAAGAAGGTGACGAGGCTGCAGAGGAGTCGCCCGAGGAACATGTGCCAGAACTGCCAGCACCAGTGGGCAATCCAGCACTGCCGGAGCCAGAACCTTGCGCAGCCGTGAAACCTTTGACCCTGCAGGATCGGATGTTCGAGCCAGTGATTTTGTGTTTGGAGACAATGGTGTCACTGTCCAGCCTGACGGCTTGCATAGCCGGAATTTGACCGATAGAACCGTTTTGAAGCAGACCCTTCTTGCTGGCAAACCGAAGATCACAAGGAAAGAGGCTTGTGACAAGATGCGCTCTGAACGAGGGCAAGGACGCAAAGCGCTTCCCAAAGAAAAATGGGTTGCTGTCATGAAGGCTGCAGCTTCCCAATTTCCCGACTTGCTCCGCCTTGACGGAGAGACTTTGTGTTTGAAGATGCTTCCCGACACTGCAGCGGGCAAGGTCGCGTACCACAACGACCTCATGAGAGCTGGCCGTATAAGCCTGCGGGAGTTGATTGCTGCTATGGACAAAGCAGCTGAGAAGAAGGAAGAGCGCCGTGCAAAGCGAGCCAGGGTGGATGACTGAGGCAAGCTGCTTGGGCGCATTGATCCCGCGTAGGATGGTGCCAGCTGCCAACAGAAGTCGGGTTCAAAAGAGCGGCTGCCTGCAGCTGACAACTGGCCCCTGTTCTGTTGTCATCCATCTTCGCAAGACAGGTTGAGACCCAGCCCTTTCAGATTTTCCACGCAATGCATCTTCCCTGCCTGCTTTGTCTAGGCATTTCTTCGCCATCCAGCCCTTCTTCTTCTTGTGCATCTTGGTGGCAAAAGACTTGGGCGGAAAGTCTTGCGCGAAGGGTTGGCCAAGAAGGGCGCCCACAGCCGCTCACGCTGCATATGCTCCCTGCTTCATGCCTTTGGCCTGACTACTGGCCTGTAACCTGATATTATCTAAGGTGCGAGACTTGCGCAAGGACAACGGGGGAACCGACTTACGACTTGTGGTTGGGATCATCTCCCATTTCAGGGGCCATGGTCGATAGCAATGGGAAAACGTGGTTGAAGCTGCGGATTGTTTTGATGAGTGCGCTGTTAAGTATTGATCAGCGGACCAGCGGATCAGCAGATCACCGGATCAGCGGATCTGCGGCTCAGCGGACCAGCAGCGGATCAGCGGATCAGCGGATCAGCGGATCAGCGGACCAGCGGA